TCTTTTTCTTGTTCAATGTTATATGTGGTAGCTATGAGATATATTTCGAGTTTGTAAATAGTAATATATAATAATTGAGAATTTTTTATTTGAGATTTTTTCGTACACGAGAAAAGCGATAGTAAATCAAACATTTCAAAACAGTTTCGCTTAAAAATCGATGGTTTGTTGCTATCGTTGGTCTCATACGATAGTCACTAGCCGTAAATATTGTTTTGTTTTGTTCAGACATTCAAAAAGACTTTGTCGCAGATTTGGAATAATCCAGAACAAAATAATGAGCATAGGACCTAATGATGTATTCGTATTCAAAAGCAAAAGACGCATCCATTTCAATGGTGCAAGATCCTGATGATACATGTTGAATATTAAAAAAAATAGAAATTGGTATGTCTACAAAAACTAATTGAGCATTTAGCAATACTATACACCTAACCATAGTTAAATCACGACGCATTTGTTTTTGTTGTTGATTGTCATGAGCACATGGAGAAGCTTGACATACATAACTTACTAAATGATGATAGAAGAACAGCAAGAGTAGTGTCTGATAAAATGAATATTTTTGCAAACATATAAAATAGCACGACAGAGTTTGTTAATGAAATAAAACATAAATTTTCTATACGAAACTTTGGCATATTATCAGTAAGATGAGCAAGTAAAGCAAAAATGATGTCAAATATCCATTGAAAAAGGAACAAGGACACTTTACCAATTTGTCTATCTAGAAATTTCAATGTTTTAATCTTGACAAATTTTTCTATTGCTTGTAGAATAAATGAATGATGAATAAAAGAACGTAATGAACAAAGAGAATCGATATTTGGTGTCTGTTGTTCATCTCCCAGCAGCATGTAGATAGTTAGTGCCAGATTGTCACAAGAATGCATAAAGATGGCGAGAGCCGTATTACAAATTAATAGAGTAGGAAAATTAAAGCATCGACTCAGATAAATAATAGCAATCGTAAAAAAAGCCAATGCCAGAAGACAAACAAAGCTACTGACAAATATGTATATCCGATTGATAATGGAGATTATATCCATTTTTCTCTCAATGTAAACACTAGTTATACATCATAGTCGATCTGACTCGGATAGTTTTCAGTTGATAGCTGATGTGAATACGTTCAAATACGACTACTTATTAGTGAACAATAAATATAGAGTTTGAGACGCTACTTGTAGAGAAATAGTTTTGGATCGGTAGACCAAAAAAAGAAATTTTACAATGTTGAACACAAATGTATGCTCATTTTATATCTATGCGAGAGAGAGAGAGTATAGCAACTGTCAAAATTAGAAAAGAAGAAATCTTTTTACCAGGAAATCACTCGCTCTTCCTTAAGAAAAAAAATAGATGGGCTTTGTTTCACATGAACAATTCAAGCATATTATAAAAAGAAGTATTTCAAAGTATTAAGTCTTTCAAGTAGCATTGATAATGAATCACAATCAAAAATGAAGCAAAGCATCGTAACGACAAGAAGAATGAAAGTATTTCAAAAACTGAGGACAACATAGCATGTTCGTTGCACAACAAATACTATTAACAAATAATGGCTGAAAGCATATATAAATGCTATACAAATGAAAAAAACATAATGAATATGTCATCAACATATATAATGAATTTATGCAAAGCGATGGATTTTATTTATTATTTGATGGTCTATCAATCTAGATTCTAATGCTTCTTTTGAGTCTCTTTGAGTAAACACTGAAAAGACAGAGAGAAGAAGCGATGGATAATCCAACCACATAATAGAGTTCATCAGTCTAGAAGTTGCTGATGATTTCTTTGTATGTCAAAGTGAACAATGACAATCAGAGAAAATAAAATTTGTTCATGTAGAAAGTAACTTTCATCGTTATCTCCGCTCTATAAAAATATAAAATACAGTGTATTCATTTTAGTCTTTAATGAAAGTCCTATGGAGGTAGATCGCGCTATCCCTAAAAACGAATTGAATCCACGTATGAAAATTCTTCTAATGTTTTGTGTTATAAAAGAGTTTTCTCTATTACATTCTTCACTCTATATGACGTTGAAGAACTCTAATTTCTCTTTATATAGTCACGATTCATTCCCAAAAGTATCGACATACAACCAAGTTATAGATGATTATTGAAAAATATTTTGTCAAAATGCAATATTTTTCCAGAGTTTAAAGTGTTTTTCTCAATATACTTTCAGTTACATCAGAAACTGTAATGTGTTTTAAAAATCTTACATTATCTACATGTTCAAGATATGTACAATAGAATTTTCAGATCATAATTGTCGTATCGGCTGAGTCATTTGCTCGCTGCACATCTCATCTATTTTCGACCATATTCAACAAAAGGTAAATCTGCAATAGTAATGTAAAGATACGGCCTTCTCTTCAGCTTTTGTTCAAATTATCTTATTGAATCAATAATAATCATGTTATTATTGATGACAACGGACAAGATGTGAATCTATCAGACAGTATGTAGTTACACTTAAATTCCTTGATTATATGAGATTATATTAAATTCAAAACCTGGCAATACTGGCTTCTGATATTAAGAAAAAAATTATGATAATCAGTCAATATTTGAAGCAAAACAAAAGCAGTTATGTTCTTTATCGAGCATTGAACAGTCATCTCTATTGTTAGGTACATCTGCATATCGGTGGAAGGCCTACACAGTTACCCCAATCATATCCACATCCTTGACATCGATGAATACATCCAGAAGGACCTAGTGTAACGCAAGTACCCAGCGATTGGTCACATAACTGAGCAGTTACTATGACTAGAGTAATAAATACTTACAGCGTCAATGCTTAAAATTATTCATATACATACGATTTAGATTTGAAATGATTGTATTTATATAAATAATTTGCACGCAATTATGCTATCTTTTGATTTTTTTAATCTTGGGTATGGGGGTTCTTCTTTAAACCCATACCACAGTACACCCCCAACATCCGCACCCACACCGATATTCAACTGCTACGTCAGGATTTTATTTTTAGTGCTATTAAAATCTACAAGATATAATTCAGATAATGAGAGTTTATTGAAACGACACACGAAGTAAAATTCCCGAAATAATTTTGTTGTGATTTATAAGTATAGACAGGCATTGAAATAGGACCTATTTAATAAGTATTTATATAAACATAAGTGAGGTAATGAAGAAAAAATTTTTCAGTACCTTTTACTGAAAAGTAATTGTTCATTTCGACATCTGTCATATGAAAATTAAGTGATATACGATGCTGTCATCCTAAATAATTCTTTGAATGACTTTTGTTCTTACACTACCAATTTCTAATAAACGTACTTATGCTTTCTGAAAAAAAAACTATCGATCTATATTCATTTAACTGTGATATCAACACAATATTTTTCTTATATAAATGTTACAAGCAAATCCTAGTAGCCAGAAGCTGGTAAAAGAGCTAAAGTGATATATCTATAAATAACTTACATAATCATGCTAGGTATTAGCATTATCCTGATATTAATTTAATACTAATGTTAAAATATTAGATTATATTTTAACTTTAATGCAAAAGCATTAAAAAAAGCATTAATTAATGCAATCATAATGCTAAAGCGACACCTCTACCCTGGAAAACGTACGAAAAGCTTAGCTATATGAATGTGTTATCTATTTCTTGATCGTTCTTTTTATATTTATGGGAAAGAAATTTTTAGTAAAAGATTTTTATTTGAGTCAAAGTTTGTCTTACCTGTTAGTCATCCAACCTTTACTCTTTCTTCGTTGATCTTTTTTACCTTGACTATGGCCCACTATTTATCTTGATAGTCCAACCTTTTGTTTTTTATCTCGTTCCTTTGTCGACCGATGTGTGCTTGTAAATTGCTCTTTAACTTATGTGTGTATGTCTGTTTGCCGATATATAAAGAGAAGCATATGCATTAGACTTTTCACCTCAATCTTTATGTCTAATTACTACATTTTTAGTTCGATATTTTTATTTCTTGTTCGTTTGAACTATGTTAAGCTTTCAAACTCTCTCATATCTTCACGGCATACCAGGTAAAAAGAGTGTTACTTTTAATATTATTTTTAATTGTATTTTTTATTTAATAATTAAAAGTCATCCGTTCATCAACTAATAAACTTCACGAGATGTATGCCAAAGCTAAAGATACAAGTGTACTCATTCGGCTTCCATGCCATTTAGCCGAAACAATTACTGATAAATCATTAAAAATTGCTTTTACAGTTGCTCATCCCCTTCGCAAACCATTATCTGACCTTGGTAAATTTGTTCAAAACAAATTCGTTTGTTTTTTAATATATATATATATTCTCATAATTTAGTACATGTAATTGATGATTATGCCGCCGAAAAACTTCGTCAAATTGAATCTAAATATCCTGCTATCAATACACCAACTGAAGAATTTACGAATACATTCAACGAAAAAATTGAATCTGTTCGTCATGTAATGAATTCAGTTAAGGATACAACTACATCAACAATTCAACATGGCAAAGAGACTGTAGGAAAATTTCTTTTCATTTTTTTTTAGTTTTTATTTACTTTTATATTTAGATTTTTCATGTAGCAACAGCCACAGTACATAAGGCACCTGATGTAGCTGATTCTGTCTTCTCATTTTGTGAAACATATGTACCAGGAAGTATGTCAAAATAGGAAATAAAAATTTCTTTTAATTCAATTTGAATTTTTCTAGTCCAACATCTTAATGCTGGCAAAACAACAGAGTTACGTGAACATGCTTGTTCAACTGTTAGTTCATTATTTAATTATGCATTTCATTCGGCTGAATCATCATTAATATGGTCCAGAATATTGACTGTATATTCTTTTTATTTAAAACAAAATAAATGAATGATCGTGTAGGATCCAATAGGATCTATATTTTTTCCATGATTTAAGATTATAGTGGACCTCAGTGAACTACAGTAAAATGGGTGTGCTGAAGTGAATCCTAACAGACTTTGATAGATTTTCATGAACTCTGGCAAATTCTAATGGATATTGCTATAGTCCAATGAATACCAGAGTTAGAATTGAAACGGCCGATTTTTCAGTTACCGATCGGGTTCGGTTGAACTTTTCAAACCAGTCGAGGGTGTGGGTGGATGTGCGTGTAGATGTTGGTGAAGAGAACACTTAGATTAAGACACCCACACTCGCACCCAAAACAGACCCTCATCCTCACCCTCACCCTTGAACTGAATTTTGGATGCACGGAAGTAATACCTCACAGAATAATAAATATAAAATCGAAATATGCAAGATCCATCAATAATGCATAAAAAAGATTGTTTATGTCTTCTCGATCTTGAAAACAGAAACTAAAAGCTCCTGGAAAGCAGTATATGAATTTTTTCGGCACCAATAGAATCAAAGAACAGATCGTTATACTTTATATCCTTTTAAGCCAAAAATAATTGTGCTTTTCAATACTGATATTAAGAGCTGTAATTTTATGAGAAACGTGCGCAGATAGAATAAAAGGATCAAAAGATAAAGAAGAGACCTCATACTATATACAACGCTGCTGCTCGCTATGCTCGCCTCACTTTCTCTATTCGATATCATTACCAATGTATCAATCAATATTGCTGCTTGTTGTTATATTGACTTTGTATGCTGCTACGATAGCAGCAGATTCGCTTGAAGGTAATAGAAAGTTTCAGAGACATATGCTCAGAAAAGTATCTATTTATATAGGTCGTGGTCTGATGAATGTATGTTATGATGAGTATGGATGCTTCACATCAGGTCCTCCATTCGGTTTGACACTTCACCGACCAATCGCTCTTTTACCTGATCCAGTAAGAGATTGATCGTGTTACATTATTTTTCAAAGTCTATATTTTATTAGCCTGAGGTGATCGACACTCGTTTTCTGCTCTATACAAGGTATAAGAAAGTCTTCGGTTCGATGATAGAATTTAAAAAGTATGATTTTAGACAATTTAAGGACAAAGGTCAAGCGATCAGTCGTCACACAACACTTGGCACATGGGATCGTACTAAAGCAACAAAAATTCTGGTACACGGATTTCTTGATACCATCAATAGTACTTGGTGGCCAGAAATGAAAGATGCCTTTCTCGAGGCTGTATGTGATATTTTCTTTTATGGTTTCACCATTGTTCATCTTGATTTCGTTATATTTTGAAGGAGGACTGCAATGTCATTCTAACTGATTGGAGTCGGGCCAACTACTTTCCGTATACGAAGGCAACAGCTAATGCTCAGGTGGTTGGTGCAGACATTGCTCTCCTAGTGAATAAGATGATAAAAGAACACGGAGTTAATCCGGCTGACTTTCATATTGTTGCTCATAGTTTGGGAGCTGCTGTCGCAGGCTACGCCGGACATCGTATCAGTGGACTCGGACGTATCACAGGTTCGTTCTTTTCTTATTTCTTTATTTATTTCTTTTGAATTTGTGAAATTCTTCAGGTCTCGATCCGGCCAGTCCGTTTTTTGAAAACACCGATCCAATCGTGCGTCTTGATCCAAGTGATGCAAAATTTGTTGACATCATTCATACAGATGGGTCGCCCACCCTTCTTCTTGGCTTCGGTTAGTGTAAGATTTTTCCTACATTTATATAAGTTGACGACACTTTATGTAGGCACTCTCACACAAGTGGGTGATGTCGATTTTTACCCAAATGGAGGCATGAACCAACCGTCATGTGATAAGACGTCAGCCAAACTTATTCATGCCATTCTCAACTTGGGTCCACTTGACATTTTTGGTCCTATGGATATTCAAGGTGAGTGTAACATCTACAATGTTGAATGAATATAGAAGAAATTCAATCGAGTTGAGCGTCGTACATGCTCTGCATACAGAAAATAAATGAACATAATCAGAGACGATGAAAGTGAGGAATATATACCTTTCAATAATTCAAAATTCTTATCATAGGTTTCTTTAACACAACAATGTGCAGCCACTTTGCTGCCGTTCATCTATTCATCAATTCTATTCTCAATCGGTGTGTCTATCGAGGATTTTCATGCGAAAGTGATGAAGCTTTTCGGAAAGGAGAATGTACACTGAATGCTAACGAAGGAAATTTCATGGGCTATCATGCATCTCCAAATAAAGCACGTGGACGACTCTATCTCAATACCCAGAGGGTGGACAAAGCTCCCTATTGCAGTAAGTAATTTTGACGTTTGACAAACAGAAACACAATGAACATGTTTTCTGCAGTTAATCACTATCAGATTAGGTTGATATCGGGTTCAAATTTTGTTCAAACAAAAGGTCAAATTCTTCTAACATTCACCGGTAGTCGAGCTACGCAAAGTGTTCTCCTTGATTCGTGAGTCTAGATTGATACTTTAAGCAACTCTTCTTGTCATTTAGTGACGAGACATTTTTGAAACGAAGCGGTATTGAAACTCGTTATATTCCGCTCACAACCGATTTGGGTACGATTCAACGTGTCAACGTTAAGTTCGAACGTGCAGGTCATTTGATTTCTTCACTGATCTATTCGAGCAAATGGACATTCACAAATGTGACTGTTATTGATGGCGATCGACAGACCAGGTTAGTAGAATGTTCTTCAAATGAATTTCAATTTAACTTCTACTGTATCTAGTGTGACATTCTGTCCCGAGAACGGTGAAATGGTACTTGAATCTGGCAATACTGCAAGATTTTATCCATGCTAATTAACATATTATTGAAAGAAATAAAAAAATGAGATTTTCTTTCATCCATTCAAGATGACTAACAATATATCGAGTTGATGACTTTGACAACAGTCAATCATAAATCATGATAAAAATCGTGTAGATTTATAAAATGATCTGCACGATATTGCAAGTGATGTAACGCTTAAATCGATGTTACTCTTGACCCATTGACCAAACAGATCTCTGTGATATGTAACATCGTTGCATACAAATTTTAGATCAGAGCTGCCAACAAGCAACTTTTTTCGACCTAATTTGACTCGGTGTATGGGTGTGAGTGTGAATTTGAGGTATACGTGTCTTTGTAGGTTTCTATGCCCCTTTAAAAAAACTAACAATTCGAAATACGCAGATAAAAATATTACCGTAAAGTATATTGCGATGAGACTCTATCTCCTTTCTCACTTATAAACATATTATTAGAAATAAAATACTAGATTACATTCTGATCTGACAAAATCAAAACTTATATCCAATAGTAATCAATCCCTTATTGATTTTCACGATATAAAATAGTGCTTTCATAAGAATAAGGCAGAGGTATTGTCCGACACCAACTATACAAATAAAAAACAATCTGCTTTAATTTTATTGCATGCGTATGATACAAATAATTTCTATCACAAATGCAACGCTTTCAACTATTATTAAAAACTGCGAAACCAAATTTGACTGAAATACGATGATAGATCACAAACAAAGATTTTCAAGTGTGCAAAAGGAAATTTTTCTGTAAGTCACTTCTTACGATTTTTCTTAGGCATAATCCTGAGCTCAAACTTATAACTAATGCATAACCCTATGAAAGACTGTGACAGTTAGTCAGACACTGTTTAATCCAAAAACCTTACAACATGCTGCAAGCGCTCCACACGATACAGAATACTGATCACAAAGTCTACAACACGGCGAACGTCCCTCTTAAAACTAGACAAATTAAAAGAATTCTAGGAAATTCATTTAAAGAAATCACTATGATTTGCTGTAACGTGTTGCCAGAAGCGACAAAAGTTTAATGAAATTACATATAAAATACCATCCATGTCAAAATACGTAGAAACTGATGAAATCAATCATTTAAAAGCCAAGAATTTTCAAGTACGCATGTATGAAAAAACTCTTACATCGTGTTTCATAGAATTTCCTACTATCAGCCGTTTAAACGTTTGCGATGTGGATGTATTCAGTTGTAAAACAACTTATACATCGAAACCCCTCAAACGCGATGATATTAGCCGACTAAAAATTCAGGACTTTCAACTATGCAGATACAAAAAAAAAGGTATACTGAAACTCTCAAAGGTTATTGATATCAGACTTCCAAACGTTCCCTACAAGTTGACGATATCAGCCATTTAAACTACCAGAAATTTGCAGTATGAAGATACAAAATAATTGTTGTATCGAAACCCCTACCAGTTGATGGCATTGACAATTTAAATATCCAATAATTCTAACTATGTATATTTAAGAAAAATGATTCATTGAAACTCTTAGAAGTTTTCAATAACAGCTGTTTAAACGTTTAGAATTACAGGCCGTGCATATAAATAATTTATTATACATTCAAACTTCTAGGTTTTGATAACATCAGTCGTTTAAACGTTTAGAATCTTGAATCATGCGCATATACATAAAAATTCATACATCTAAACTCTTCGCAATGGAAACTATCAGTCGTTTCATCATATAGAAATTTGAACCAAGCAGATGCAGAAAAATAAAATCATCATCACTTCTAGAATTCGATCAAACCAGTCGTTTAAATGTCTAGGATTTTGAATTTTCTAATATATTGAGTTCATAGCATAAAATGATGTTGTCTCCTCGAGAAAGAAAGACTTCTACTCGGAGCGAGTTTGATTTTGTTTTCTCCGTGACGCACTTCTCCTTTTATTATTCTATCTATATATTTCTCAGTCTACAATGCCATGTCCAATCTCGACAGGCACAATACAGGACTTTTTCCTCGCTTCATCTTGTTATATTCAGAAATCGTGAATGTAGACAAATATCCTAGAAGCTGAGAAATGTCATTTGTGTCAGGATAGG